CATCGTATCAAAGGAGGAATTCCAGAGGTTTTAATTCATTGGAGTCATTCTTCACCAGCAGATGCTTCGTGGGAAAGGGTCCAGCATATAACAGACAAGTTTCCAGACTTCCAGCTTGCGGACAAGCTTCCATTGGGGGCGGAAAGTAATGTTACCAAACCCCTGCAAGTATATTCCCGTTATACCCATGGTCCTAAGTCCAAGTCACCAGTAATGTAATGTTACCAAACCCCTGCAAGTATATTCCCGTTATACCCATGGTCCTAAGTCCAAGTCACCAGTAATTGAGTTGCTGAATTAGTCAGCAGTAGTTATTCTCTTTCTGTTTTGATTCTGTTTCAACATTCCTGCATTGTAGGCGGGTATTCCTCCATTTCCCTATTTTCTTGTTGTTAGTGGGACGTTATTCCTCCATATAGAAGTAGTGTTGCTTGTATGTAGGGAGTAGTTATTTCTGCACTTGTATATATTCAACAAATCTGATGGAATAAAGCAGACTGTTAAAACCCAATTTAAGTCTTCTTGACTGAGGTTTCAGGCTCCTCTTTAACGAGTCTGACTTTTCTTGTCTTCCGCCATAGGTCGCTCAAGGAAACACCCTAACCCAAACACCCAAACACCAACCCCTCCTACTACCCATCGACCCATAACTAGATCCGTTAGTCGAGACCATAACATATGCACATAAAATTATATATATGTATATTTGTATATTTACACTTACACTTATACATATATTTACATATATATATTACTTATCGATCATACCCATAGTCTGTAATCATAATATTCAATTACACATTAGTAAAATGTGTTCATTAAAGTTCAACTAGTTAATATGGTGGTCTGTATCATTTAATTTGGCTAGATTAAACTACACTAAATTAGAGTTTAGTTAATTTAACTCGATAAATCCATTTGAACATAATAGTAAAAATGCAAGATCGAAGCCTAGGACTCACCGATGAAAAATTGGATTGCAGAATCGCGATCGTCACAAGAAAGGAAGAAATTCTGCCTCTCAAGGACTCGCTGGAGTCTCACCAACCGGTCACTGGACCGCCGCCGCTGGCCGCCGTGCGCGATGATCGGGTAGTCATGCCTCATTAAAACTGATCAATTTTTACATCCCAGCCTCGGAATTCCATGAAGAGCCCAAATCCAGTGTCGATTTATGGAGGCTCTGGATCAGCTTTCCGGAAATAGCTCCGATGTTCCAAAATCCGTTACTGTCGGCGGTAACTCGGTCGAAACTGATGAGGATGGTGGCCGGTGAAGCTACTAGGGACGATGGAAGGGTGTAACAGGCCGGCCCTTAGCTGGCCTCCTCGGAGAATGAAACGGAAACGAATAGCGGGACTGTCCCAATCGTGAGCCATAATCGCAGCTCACCATTGCTGCGCTAACCGAAACAGAAGGAGAGAGAGAGAGAGAGAGAGAGAGAGAGAGCAGACTGAGCGCCGCTTCCAAGGAGAGAGAGAGAGAGAGAGAGAGAGACTGAGCGCCGCTTCCATGAGAAGAGAGTTGGGGACGACCAGTTGAGCAGGAGTCGCCGAAAAAACGAAAAAAGAAAATCAAAGGTGACTGTCCAATCGGAAAAAGCTTTTCCTTTGCTGCCACGCTATAAACCAACCAGAACTGAAGAAGGAGGGTGACAGAAGGAACGACAGCGACAAGAAGGAGCTTCTGTCGGCGAAGCTTGAGCTCCGGTGGCCGGAAAATGAAAGAGGATAAGGGAGGGGGCTGAGGTCGGCGCTAAAAGGAAGTGGAGAATTTAGGTTAGGACAAAATGGGTAATTCCCATGTTCTAGGGCTTTCTAATTGGTTAATTGTCGGTTTGGGTTCAAATCAGGCATGGTTTCGTCCAATTCCTGAGGATTACTTGGTTTCCTTAATTGATTTATTGATTTCCAATTGGTTTATGGAGTTTTCAATGGATTTAATTTTAATTTAAGAGTTTGGTTTAACAAATATAAATATATTTACCTAAAATTTTATTCGATTTAACTAGTTTGAACACTAGTTTTTCAATGATTTAAACGGTTTAAATCATGGTTTAAGTTCTAGATCATTCTACAGTGTACTTAATAATACTAAAACTGTTAACAAAAGCGTACTTGATCGATAGCTATTGATTACCTCATTGCGATAATTCGATTCTCACCGTAACAATCTATGTTTCTTCACTTTGGCCTTTTATCCGTAAGTTCTCTTAATGTTCAGAGAATTATTGACAGCAAGGGGAGTTTTCTTTTCGCGTTCTCTTAAACAACCTATTATCGCTATGTGTTTGAGGTAGCCGTCACACTCTCTTAACCTACGCTGTTGATTTCCTTGATTTTTTATAAGACAGAGGAAGGGTATTAAAATCATACCGGTCCTCATCTCATTAAGCCCAATAACCATCATCTTGGACAACCTTGAATAAATTAAAATTAATATTTTCAGTAAATTAGGAATCGTAATATTTTATAATACTGAACTAATATTTTTAGTTTGCTAATATTAATTAATAAAGTCATCTTATTTCTTAAGGAGTAAGTTATTTTTTATTGAATTAATCAACTCAATAAAAATGAATATTGTATTACATTTTACCAGGGGTATGCACGGGACTGCAGGAATCCCAATCGATTTTCAAAAATCGTCCCAAATTTGTTGTCCCAAGAAAACTCCGATATTAATTTAATAGTCCCATCCGGAAAGTAATTATGGAACGAGACTGATTCATTAATTAAAATCGACCCGTAGCGATCCAAGTTCTGTCCCATCTTGTCTAGTCTTGAAAATCGAGTATTCCCGTCCCATTTTTTCTTTAAAATTTCAGTTTTTTTTTTTATGAATTTCAATATTATGTCCATAAAAATCATTTCATCCTTTTTATTTCCAGTTCTTGGATGATACCAATTACTTGCCAAGGTAATAATAATATAAAAAATAATATGCATTTTTAAATATAAAATGAACCAATTAATGAAACATATTTTTCAACATAAATTTTTTTTCTATTATTCTACGGTATGTATTAAGTAAATTTTTTTAATAAATTTTTCTTTTAAAAAAATTAAAAGATTAATCAATATAAGAAAAAATTATTAACTTTAATAATCTGATTACTGAATTATTGGTTATGCTTAATACTATCATTATTTATTTTTCATATAATCTTCAGGATTAAATTAAGTATCAAATTTAAATCAACTTAAAGACAGCAGTAACAAAAATAATGATGAGTTAAATTTTAAAAAATACATATAAAGTTAAATTGCATATAGTTTTTGCATTATTTTGTTTTATTATATGTAATGATTCAATTAATTGTTTGATTATTCTTTTTTTTTTAATTCAAACTTATATGAATGGATTCTATTTGATTGTAATCAATGAATATAGTAATTTTATTTTATTTTTTTATGAAAAATAATTTAGTAAGACTATGGAAAATTCTAATTGATTCCCAATCCGACTCATCCTGGCTTATTCCACAAAATCGAATTTTCGTCCTATCCCATCCCGAAAAATAGGACGGGATGGAACATGACTACATACTAATTGGAACGAGATGAAACGAGACTACATACCTATCAGGACGGGATTGCGACTTTATTATTTTGTCCCAATATTTTAGGATGGGACTGAGAATTATGTAATTTTTGCCCTAACTCGACTCATGCACACTCCTACATTTTACATTCTAATTGATAATTAATACGACATTCTATGTTATAACATTGATTTTATTCGTATTCCAATGTTACCATGTTACATTCTATATATTAATTATCAATTAGAATGTAAAATATAGTATAATATTAATTATTATCATGCTACAAGCCCAATAATTATAGCTTCATCAAATCATTTTTTTTTTTTTTTTTTCCAAATCATTTTTTTTTTTTTTTTGTCATTTTATGTCAGATAGTCAAAATGTGAATAATCATTTTTTTTTTTTTTTTGTCATTTTATGTCAGATAGTCAAAATGTGAATTTTGCAATTGGAAATTGCTCTTTGTCCACTAATTAAAGTTTTATTAGATTCTACCATTAAAGTAAGAAAAAGAGCGTAAGCTTTAAATTCAGTATCTCTTATTTAACCAAATAAAAAATTTTTAAGGACACTATAGACATTCTATCTATTAAGATTCTAGTTGGATCAAGCTTAACTTGAGCGTAAATATAATAAATATCTTAATAAGTTGTGCTTATTTTGAGATAAAAGAGTAATTTGGTTAAATTACTTTTGATTTTATTATAATTTAGAGAAATTAATTGTTCCCTTATATTATATTATTATATTAAGCGACTTATATTTTGACAAGAAGCGAGTTACAATTTACAAAAATTTAATTTTACAAGTACTTTTATGTTATAAATCCCTCTACATTTAAAGCTTTTCTGTGTCTTTCTGCATATGTAATTTCGCGTGCTCATTTACTTTTCTCTACACATTCAATTGAACGGTGACGTGCTTGTTCACGCATGCATGGTACGGTATGGGTGTGGATGCATAAGTGTATGCGTGCTTGCATCATGGATTTAAATCCCACTTCTAAAATTAAATTTTTAAGCATTCCACTGCCCATTTAACAGTTATTTGAACGCGAAATAAATGGATCACCGTGGCGACGGGGGAGAAAGATGAGGTTTCAAGAAGGGATGGAAGATAGGGTTTCACTGCCATCCTGTTCAAATGCTAGTTTAAGGTCCAAGAAATTAAGTTAACCCTCAATTTTTAATCACTTCAGAAAGATAGATAAAGAGTGGGTATTTATATAATTCATTTAGAAAGTTTTATTTTGTAAAATTGATTTGAAAGTTCAGAGTATATAGTTTCATGTAATACCAAAACATAATTTTAATTACAATCCTCAAGTACATCATGATAGGATCTGGGTCCAAATATCACTTTTGAGATGAAGATGTTAAAAGAATAATGAAATAGAGGTGAGAGACTCCATATTTCAGTTTTAGAAAAGAAGCTTAGGAGGTTAGTAATTTATCCTTGGAAACAAGCCATTCGATGATGTTTATAATTGATAATTTGGTACACATTCATCTTTACAGATTATACAAACTAGAAAAAAAAAATTACAGATTATACAAGCAAAACAAAACAAAGACAGAGCATACATGTATAATCTTTACAGTTCAAAATTTGATTTCATCTCCTGAATATGGACCGACAGAGAGTCAGATCTACATAAAACCTACTCAATCCAATGCAAAAAGCTTATCCAATTGTTCGTCTGTCCACTGCGGGACTGAAACTCTGGAAGAAGGTGGCCTTCTCCACTTAGGTCCATCAATATTTCCAATTTCTTGATTGTCAAAGACGTCAATTAAGCCTGTTGCAGCACTTCCATATTGGTCACCTTCCGACAGATTACCCCTTCCTGCCTGACTTGAAGGGTTTAGCCGCTCACATACCACTGCTTTACCATTATTATCTTGATCTGTTCCATCAGCTACTTCCGCTGTTACATTAGCTCCATTCTGCTTCCCAGCAACAACATTTTGGTCTTCATTGTTTCCATTGCCATGGCAGCTGTCTCTTGTTGCATTGTCCCTTTCCATGTGTTGATCAAGTGAACTTCCTCTTTTATTAGCATTTTGTCTGAGACTGTTCATGATTCCTTCAGTCCTTCCTTGTGACAAAGACAATGGATAATTCGGCATCCATGATTTTTCATTGTACTCTGCAAGTATTGAATAGGCAGTCAAATTGTGCACATCTACATGAAAAATACAACACCATTGTTTCAAAATTATGTCATCATCTATATCAGAAGCAAGATATGGCCCAAAAAATTGTATTGTCTAAATTGCAAAAAGGGAAACAAATTTTTTCCTCCTACCAGACATGGGAGCAGCATGTTTGACTGTTGATGCAGCACAATTATGTGTTAGTGAAAGTTCGCTATCCTTGGAGATGACCTGCAAAATGTTATCACAATATTGTGAGTATGGTCTCTTTGTGTTCATGTGCTGCTAGATGTCTATGTTTGTGTCATTACCAATTCTCATTCAATTACATGTCACAAGCTCCATAGCTGTAGCTGTAAAATTTATCGTATGCTATTTCTTAGTGTATTTGTTCAACCAGTAATAGCAAAAGAGGGCACAGGTTGACCGTTTTACACGATTTAGCTATGAAAGTGAAATATAAATCAAAGCAACATATGCATATGACAAAGCTAAAATTGTATTAAGGCCATTCTATACAAAATGCAAGCATACTTAATTGAAAAACCTAATAATAGTTGCACCTTAGTTGAATACAGCATTCATATAACAAGTCCCAAGGAATCAAAGAAAAATCATGATACTGTTGCATCAATTGGAAACTAAACCAATAGTTAAACTTGATGCCAAAGAAGTGCAAGCTTTATCATATACCGAGCCAGGTTTAAAACTGCTGTGTTGGTCCACAGTTGAAGAAGATAAAGACTAATACTACATTGTTCTGTCTGTTTTAGAAATTCAGTTTTTTCCAAACCAATCATTCCAACAGATATTTGACCAAGACTAGGTGCGGACAGATGTACTGAACAATTAAGAAATCCTTCCTCGCATAGAAATTTATCCATATTTTTGAGATTCAGCTCACTGTAAAAGACTATGAGAAGTGTTTCTATTAAGCACTCACACTCTTGCATGGAACCACTAAAACAAGAGTGAAAACCAGGAAGCTTATGATGAAGCCCTTTAAAGCTGAAAGGATGGTTCCATGCGATTATCATTCATAACATAGTAATATATTGAGTTTAGTTTTGTCCTTTTACTTGGCTAATTATGGTGATATATAGAAAAATAAAATTTGGTCAGGAACATGCCTAATTGTTCCCAAAGTACCACTATAGTGGTTTGAATTTGGAATTTTAGTAAACATAGAATATTTTGAGGTTATTTTTGTCTTTGAAACTTTGTTAATTATGGTGATATATGGTAAAATCTAATTTGGTCAGGGACATGCCTAATTGTGCCCAAAGTACCACCTTAGTGGTTTGAATTTGGGATTTTAGCAAATATTCAAAGAAAATTTATCATTAAAGATGTTGAACTTGGTCTTCAGGTTGGGAAAAAAGAGAGTAGAGGTAAAGCTCAAAGGTAAAACAATTGATATGCAAAGCCAAGATAAGTCACATACACCTAATGGTGCAAAAGAAACTATGTTAGCTCATGAAGTAATCATATAATGGTAACAGTAAGTATATGCATAGCTGCTGCACAGAACAAGAACTGTAGAATAGCTCAACATATATTCTTAGCACATCAAAAACAAAAAACAAATGTGAAGATTATCAAGTATCATGTCTTTGATCTTGAATATATTAAACAAGCCAGGATGAATCAAGAAAATGGGGAACAGAAAACAAAAAGGAAGAAAGTAATAGCCAGGTGGAGTTATTAAATTCATAGTACATTGTGCTTGCAGTTTACTTTAATCATAAATTGGTTACTAAAAAACACCAGGTGGAAGGTGTACCTTGACCATATTGCTACGTGTGATATTGAGATAATGAGCAGAGCGTGAAGGCGAAAAAACTGCAATCTGTAACATATCATTCGTCAGTCAATCTCTAACAACAGGTTGATACAATCAGATTTGCGACTTAAAGTTTCACAAACCTCAAAAAATTGCTACCTCACTGACTCACTATTTAGGAAAACATGATAACATTCCTAGTATAACTGTATAAATCATAAAATGTGATACAAGCACAATCTAGGCACATTTACAGCCATACAGTTTACTCAGAAAAAGGACTGCCTCGAACCTTTTGCAGTATTATAACGGATCCAATAGATATGTTCTTCCCAAACTCCCCCTCGGTGAGAACTCCCCCATGAATGGTGGCATCAATCGTACCCGTTGGATCCTAAATCAAACATAAACCAACTTAAAAATCTGCATCAACAAATAAAGGCAAACAAAAATCTGATTTTGCAATCATTTTTAATTTCTAGTAAACCTACCTTTAGAGTTACCATCATATCGCCAAAGCCATTGGGAGTGCAAGATTTAACAATGGCCACAACCTAATAACAATTAGGTAAAGAAGATAGACTAATTAGAAAAAAATCATACAGAGTACAACAAATGTTCCATCAAGCAGGTGCTCAAATTAATTCAAATTTTCTTTTCCACAATTGGGAATTATTATTCATATAGATTTTCTTCAAATATAAATCAATATAATCCATAGAGAATCATACCTGAGCCACTCTATCCATTTTATTCCTGCTCTTTACCGCACTCAGAGGAATCCCAATTGCACCATCACCATATCCCAACCCTATTTTCAACCCAAAAGTACAAAAATAAAAAAGAAATAAATTACACAAAAAAGAGAGACAGAGAGACAGAGAGAGCATAGTGAACCTTGGCTACGAATAAAATTCACAGCATAAAGCCAAGGGTCGGAGGTGAAATCATCATCGTCTTGAGGAACACCTTCCTCCACAACTCTCCTAATGTACTCCTGGGTAGGGATTGGCTCTTCACCAAAATCACCGGTGAAATTTCCATCATTTTGATTATTGCGACGGCGGAGCATGGCAGCTTGAACTGTTCCGGCGGGGCCAGGGATGAGGATAGGAGAGGCACTGGGTGGTGGTGGAGGATGGAATTGGGAGAGAAGATTTTGGGAGTTTTGGGAGGATTGAGAGAGAGTGCAGCGGTGGAGAAATGGTTGAGAGACAGAAACAGAAGTGGCAGCTGTGGTGGTTTTGCGGTGTTTGAAAGGGCGGAGAGAAGAGAGATCAGAATCGTCTAGGTCTAGAGCTTCCTCCCAAGGTTCTGCCATTTTTGATGGGCATTTGCGCGAAGCACTGTTTGCGTGTAACAGAGGGATTTTAGACAGCGCGGGAAGGAGAAGGCACTTCAAGTTTTATTTTGTTCAATTTGCTGCACTGGCTTTTATTTGTTGGTCAATTAAGCCCTTTGCAAATTAAGCCTCCATTTATGGAAAATAACTTGTCCTTAAAAAATATTGGAATTGCTAACACATTTTTCAAATTAGTTAAAAATATTAAAATTTTTAATTTTCATGAATTAGGTTTAGCTTATTTGAAACTTATTAAGATATATTTGCAATTAGCTGATAGGTCATTCATTTTTTTAATATAATTAGTGTTCAAGAACGTACGATGCACGTTGTTACTTGTTGAACATACCTATTAGAATGATTATTTATAATTTATTTTATTACAAACACAATATAAAAATTTAATATTTTTTGTTATAATTATTACATATATAAAATAGGTGTAAACCACTATCATACATATATAGTATTTGATGAAAAATTTTAATAATTTTTTACAATAGATTTTTTTACAAAATGAAATAGTTATAAAGTTGAAAATAAATAACCATTGATCTAAGATCTCACCATATATAGAAATAAATACATATATAAATTATTGGTAATCAAATTCAAATTTTTTTTAATAATATAACAAAATAAAAAAAATAAAAATTTAAAATTAGTACCTTAGTCATTAATAATAATAAAGTGAGAAGTTTTCGATATAACAATAGCAAAGAAACTCTTGATAGAATGATAGTAGAGAGTCTTTTAGTCATTAATAATACTAAAGTGAGCAGTTTTCGATATAAGTTTTCGATATAACAATAGCAAAGAAACTCTTGATAGAATGATAGTAGAGAGTCTTCAATGAATTATTGATAATAAAAGAAAAAACTCTTTGATAATAGTCAAAGAAAATATAGTTATTTGATAGATTAAATTTTTAATTGAGTTATAATTTAATATTAATATATGTAATATTAAAATTAGAGTATAATAAATTTTTAAACTAAAAATATGCAACAACTTTAAAAAAAAGGAGCGTTAAATGTTTAAAAATTACAATCATGATTTAAATAATTTTTTTAAAATAAATAAATTTATACTAATTGAAAATTAATCAAAAAAATTATTTAGCAGATTAAGGATAAAATAATTAATATCTTCAAGAGAATGATAAAGCAAAAAATAGCTAACAATATTGATAAAACAAATAAAAGAAAATATAAGGAAAAGAAAAGAATTTCAATATATAATTTATAAATTTAATTTTTTGTAAATTTTTTTATATAAAATAGTTAAATCCTTTTACAATAAAATTATAAATATAATTGATTTAATATTTGATTCAATCAAAACTTCTAGAATTTTCATTTCTGATTGATTTAATATTTGATTCAATTAAAACTTCTAATATATATTTTTCGATTTAATAATTGATTTAATAATTGATTTAAGATTGGATAAAATTTTTTGATTACTATTTCTAATATATATTTGATTTAATATTTTGATTTAAATATATATATATATATATATATTATTATATATATTTATATATAATATATAGTTTATTTAATTAATTTATTATTACGAATCCTATATATTTGATTATTTTATTACATTTTGTATTAATTTAAATATTATTTAATATTAATTAACATTTTGTATGTATTAATTGTCAAGATAATACAAATTTCAATTATCTAATACAAATTATATTCACAAAAGTCAATGATGTTTATTCCCTATTTTTTTTTTTTGAACTAATGCATTATTTGTTCAAAAGTAAAATTCTTAAAGTTTTATACCATATATATCTTATGTAATATATAATATAATTTATTATTTTATCCAATAGAATTTATATTAAATAAGAAATTCTATATCCTTAATAATTAAATTAGCTTTATTTTTCAATTAATAAAATTAAAATGCCAAAATTTTATATTTTTACCATATATATCTTATATTCTATATAATATATAATATAGATCTAAATTGTTATTCAATAGACTTTATATTTAAATAGAAAATTAAAAATTCCTTATAATTATTATCTTTATTTTTCAACCAATAAAATTTAAAATCTTTAAATAAATTTTTCTTTATTTAGAATTAAATAACTTTCTTTTGGTTGCTAAAGAACATACTGAACATACTTAATAAATATAAATAAAAATTATTCTATTAATTTGTAGGTAGAGAAAGTTAAGATTATACTTATCGCAAGAAGAATATATGATTGCAAACTCAATAATTCCAAATTAGCAAAGCTTGATGTAATAATTTTTTATGGTCAAAAGCAACAAATTCATAATAGTCAAGAGTAACAAATTTTTGATAATTGAAACTCAAAAGCAATTAAAACTAAACGTATATATAGTGATATGATAGGACAAAATCCCAATTAGAATAGTATTAAAGGACAAATTTCTAATTAGAGAGAGATTAAATTTATAACATTAATAAAAAAAGAGCTACCAATAAAGGATTAATAAATTTAATTTCTTATATTATAATATATTTAAATTATAAGTTAATTTCTTATATTATAATATATTTAAATTATAAGATATTAAATCATAGTATTTTCATATGGATAGAAATTTCAAAAGTTTCCTAACTAGAATAGGACTAAATTATTTTTAATGATATTTTTAATTTATCAACTAATAAAATACCCATAAAATTAAGGGTTTTATAATTAGAATAAGACTAAATTATTATTCAATCAACAATTAAATTAAAAGTCTGCATGAACATTTTAGGAACCCAACGTTCCCCCTCATTCACACTTAATTTTTTATATATATATATATACTGAAATTCCTATACATGCAAAAAAATTATGCTTTATTATACTATAATTTAAATATTGAAATTCCAATGGTTATCTTATTTCCATCGAAATACTTGAAACTAAAAAAATAAAAAATAAAAGATATTATCTTGACAAATATTAATTTTATAATCCAAATAAAATTTAAACTTGTATTAATAAAATATAAAATAAAAGGGAGGAAAAAAAAAGAAAAGGAAGTGAAAATAGGTTTTGAATTTTGGTTACAACTTTAGCAATGGATAAAAATTCCGTTGCTAACCTGTTTTGTAGAAAGAAAAAATCAATGTAGGTTATAACTTTAGAAAACAAAAAAAGTTCCGTTGCTAACACGTTTGTAGAACCTTCATCAACTCTTAGCAGCGGAAATAATGAAACAAGATTTGTTAATTAATAAAAAATGACTAAGGAAACTAATATTATCAATCTACTTAAAAATTTTTATATAATTTTAATTTATAAATAAAATTAAAATTTTCTAATTAGAGGGTCCATCTCTTTAAAATATTTCATGATAAGGCTATTCAGGAGGAAAAACTTGTAAGCTTGTAATTATTCACGATTATTAAACAATTACAATTAATTTATAAATCTATAAATCTAAAAAATAAGAACTATAAATAAAAACTATTATATTAATTTGTAAATAGAGAGAGAGTTAATAAAATAAGGAACTATAAATAAAAACTATTATAGATTAATTTTGTTAAATAGAGAGAGAGTTATATATGTATACTTAATGGCAAGAAAAGACATTGTTTGGAAAATCTCAAATTAATTTTCAGAATTAGTAAAAGCTTAAACGTAGCAATTTCTTAAATAGTCTGCAAGAATCAACATGGTTCTTAAATACAGTGAAAAGCAATTAAAATAAGACTATATAGGTGGTTATGATAAGGAAAAATTGCCTAAAATAGAATGAGATTAATATTTATAATTATTAATATAATAAAAATACATTGATATCATAATTAGAAATATGATTAGTTAATTGATATTTTTGTGATATCATAATTAGAATATGATTAGTAATGATATTTTTGTCGATTCATAAACTTAGCAGGGACATTTTAGGAACCCAATGTTCCCCCTCATTCGTACTTTTATATATACTAATTTTTTTATGACGTGCGATGCACGTTGACTATACTCATTATATGCTCATTTTTTATACTAGTTTAGTTTTTTGTTTATATAATTGAATTATAAATTCTTATTTAGATTGCAATAAATATAGTGATTTTTATATATACAGTAAAATATTCTTTTTAATTATACATCTTGCACTTTAATATCTCATTAAAAAAATTAATATATTTGTTTTTCTCTTTAAAATAGCAATTCAATTATGAAATATGTCATTTTATATTCTCTTCAACATGCTGAATTATATAGTTTTTGTTATATGCTAGTTGATTTTATTTTTTGTTTAAGTACCAAATTGATTTATAAAAAATCATTGTATAACTTTTATTTTATGTTTTATAATTGATTTTTGATAAATTTCACTATAATCTCTTTTAGTAAATAAATATACTTTAATAATAGAATAAGAAACTAATCTAATAAATTAAATATTTATAAATAATAATTATTTATAAATAATGAATTATTTTTAATAATAATTATTTTTATTTTTATTTTTTTTGTCAATCAAAATCATAAAATCATTTCAAAAATGTATGGTTAAAATTATATTCCTTAACAGAAAGAATATGATTTGAATTAAATAAAATATTAATACAATTAATCAAATTCGAGATGTTTAAAAATAATAATTTTTATCTTATTTTTCTGCCAACCAAATTAGAGTACAATTTGTAATTAAAGAAATTAAACCATACCCTTTTTAAATCAAAATCTTAATTATCCAGATGTATTTATTTAAAATAAATTTTAAAAAATAAAAATTTTCAAATGCCTCACATGTACACATATTCATTTAAAATAATAATGTTGAAAATAAATTACAATAATAGTAAATAAAATAACATAATAAATAATAATAATAAATTATTAAAATTATTTAATTATTATTAATAATATAATGAAATAAAACATAATAAGATATAATAAGATAATAATAGTAAAATTTTAATTAATGTATAATTTTCAAATGGTTTTAAATGCTTAATTATAGCTATATGTATTTATCTATTAAAAAAAATATCAATTCAATCGTAAGAGATATTATATAATTTTTATGTTAAACATTTTTTAA